GGGGGGGGGGGGGGGGGGGGGGGGGGGGGGGGGGGACGGTGTACCAGGATGACAGGTGAGGCCGCTCCAGATCCTTTTCTTCCCTGCCCTCCTCGACTGTGGCGCAGTCTTGAGGCCCTGAGGAGCCGGATCTGCGACCCCCTGCAGACAGGTTGACTGTATCCCAGAAGCGAGCTTTCTCACGGAGGGCACCCGCTGCAGAGTCCGGAAATAAAATAAAGGTGCGCTCATGTTTCCGAGCTCGTGGAAGAATCTGAGAAATAACGGGGCTCGGAGGGACTTTGAAGGGGGTGTGGTTGAGGCCTGAGACCCTGAGGTTAATGAGATTTTATTTTATTCTCATAAATCTGTGACCATCGTGCTGTATTTTGAGAGCGCAATATCGGCTCCACGCACTATTACACCTAGAATTAGAAGCAACAGTTGCCGTCCCTCTTGAAGGACTGGCTGGAGGGAATGGATGTGGCTACAAAAGCTGTGCTAGCATGCGGACACAGACAGTCTCTTACAGGATATTTTGAGGGCAGTGGGCAGATGTAAAGTGTACTGCAGGGTATTCAGGTGGGGAGAGAATGCAGCCGCAGCCCAGCCTACTCCCTTATTAACTGTGCCCCCGCCCCCTTTTCCCTTTTTTACAGCTCCTACTGACATAGGAGAGAGGAAGAGCTCCCTGGCAGCCTGCAGATTAGGCTTTTCTAAAAAGCCTAAGCCTCCTGTTATATCCGGATACTTTTTCGTTGTCAGTCATGGCTAGCATCCTTGCACGTGTGGGTAACAGCCGGCGGCAGAATGCGCCCTTGCCACCTTGGGCCCATTCCATGCTGAGGTCTCTGGGGAGAAGTCTTGGTCCTTTAATGGCCAACATGGCAGAGAGAAACATGAAGTTGTTCTCCGGGAGGGTGGTACCAGCCCAGGGGGAGGAAACCTTTGAAAACTGGCTGATCCAAGTCAACGGGGTCCTGCCAGATTGGAATATGTCTGAGGAGGAAAAGCTCACGCGCTTGATGAAAACCCTTAGGGGCCCTGCCCGGGAGGTTATGCGTCTGCTCCAGGCGGCTAACCCCAACCTAAGTGTGGCAGACTTCCTGCGGGCCATGAAATTGGTGTTTGGGGAGTCTGAAAGCAGTGTGACTGCCCATGGTAAATTTTTTAACACCCTGCAGGCGCAAGGGGAGAAAGCCTCCCTTTATGTGATCCGTTTAGAGGTGCAGCTCCAGAATGCTATTCAGGCAGGCATCATCCCTGAGAAAGATGCAAACCAGACTCGCCTGCACCAGCTCCTGTTAGGCGCTGAGTTGAGTAGGGACCTGCGCTTCAGGCTTAAGGATCTTCTCAGGATGTATGCAAATGAGCAGGAGCGTCTTCCCGGTTTCCTGGAGTTAATCAGGATGATAAGGGAGGAAGAGGATTGGGATGACACTTTTATTAAGCGGAAGCGGCCAAAAAGATCTGAGTCAATGGTGGAGAGGGCAGCCAGCCCTGTGGCATTTCAGGGCTCCCCACCGATAGGGATCAGCAGTGCTGACTGCAACGTGATAGAGATAGATGATACCCTTGATGACTCAGATGAGGATGTGATCCTGGTGGAGTCTCAGGACCCTCCACTTTCATCCTCAGGTGCTCCTTCCTTCAGAGGCATGGGCAGATCTCTGGATCAAGTGCTGGTCATTGATTCCCCCAACAATTCTGGGGCTCAGTTTCCTTCCACCAGTGGTGGTTCTGGGCGTAAGAATGATGGTCCTGGGGATATGCGTAGAGCCAGGAAGCGAAAATACACAGTTCGCTGTTCATATTGTGGCGAGGAGGGCCACTCAAAAGAAACCTGTGACAATGAGAGCAACACGGCCCAGGTTTTTGAGAATCTGATCATCACCCTGCAGGAGCTGACACATACAGAGGAGGAGGGGTTAAGAGAGGGCCCTGATGAAGACCCCTCTGAGCTACAGTAAGGTGCTAGCCCCCAGCCTTAAATGAACGCTTACCTGTATTGAGAGTCCAGTGCTGGGAAAGCTGGGGGAAGGGGGCTGCTCATTGCATGAATTAATCCACAAAGCAGCTTTCTTTTGGGGTGGAGAAGAAAGGGTCTTGGATACCTGCACAGTGGAGGGAGATGGCCTGACCTCTGTCCTTGCTTCCTGTCCCTGCTGCCTAAGAGTCTATTTTCTGTGTGTGCCTATTTCCTTGATGACTTTATTCTCTTTGTGAATGTGGTATAATTCATTGTTAAATCTTCATACAGTAAAGAAAAGTACCAAAAGTAAAGTACAAATTACTCCAAATTCTCCACCCTTATATAACCATTGTTAACCTTTTGATGATGTCCTCCTAGATATTTCCCTACACCTATGTACCCAGATAGATATATGTATAGTTAAAAGTGATCAAATGTAAGTGCTGTTCTAGACTCTGTATTTTTTCACCAAACAATGTATGTTGTGGGCTTCTTTCTATGTCAATAAATATATATCAGCATCTATTTTAATGTCTATGTGGTATTATTTTAGGAAAAAGAAATAAGAAAAATATAATAAAAAGCTATAAGGGGGGGTCATACTCTGAGGTGGGGTTTTTATCAACCTCATTTTGCAGATGAAGAACAGGGAAGAAGAAATGGACTGAAATATTTCCCAAAGGTAAAGGGACAGAGCCCTTTTACCACAACGGACTAGTCCACTAGCTCATAGAGTCAAATTATGGCACCTCCTAGTTGACAATACCCCAATGTTTTCCTCTCTAATGTACCCAGAGGAGTCTATGGTAGGAGAGTCTGGTGCTGAAGTAATAGCCCATTGTGGGGATTGCAAGGGTTCCATTATGTTCACTTTGGGAGGGGCTGTTCCTCCTCCTCTGCACGGATTCCTTGGAGTGCTACTGCTGCTTCTGGATAACGTCCTGGTCACAACAAGGAATCTCTCCTGTGAGCTGACATCACCCTTTGCCCCTCCCCAATTCAGGAAAAGAGAGAGCAGTTACTCATGGGGCTCAGCCCCAGCAGGCTCAGCTCCTGATAGCACCCAAGCCTCACCCTATACACTCTGAAGCTACATGCTAGAGGACACAGGCCGCCCAAGGACTCCCAGCTAATCCCGTTCCACTTTATGGGGAGAGATGCTAAGCAGTTTAGTTGCCAGAGCATGTAAAGGAACATGGGACTGGCCCCTCAGGAACCTGCCCAGTCCCATCCGGTCTCTTACTGGAGGGTGAAAAAAGAGGACATGTGTGCTCTCCAACACTGAGGGACCCGATATTTCTTGTAGGTGCCTAAGTCCCTATTTTTGTGAGCAGAACAAGGCTAGGGTTGGGGGTGGGGATAATTCCATTTAAGACAGGGGGTAGAGAGTGAAATGAATGTGCAGACCTGAGGCCCTGGAGGAGTTTGTCATGCAGGAAATAGGGGCTCCACAGAGCTGAGAGGACAGAGTGTGCAGCAGCAAGAGCCGGTGTGACAGGGGTAGAGCTGTATGGGAAAGGGGACAGGGTGAGGGTGCTATGAACAGGGGGTGTCACATCTAGATTGAAAAGGACAGGAAGCCTGGTAGGAATAGCAAATTCCAGGGTTTCATACAGAACTTTGGGCTACTTTATACCAGGAATGGTACAGGTTGAGGATCTTAGGGAGGGGTATTAGGGTTCTAATTATGCTAGCAGTTGATGGCCATTCAGTAGGGACAAAGTGGGTACAGGCTGAGGTCCCGAGGGAGGGGTAGTAGCCAGGCACTACAAGAAGCCTTCCCTGGGCTGCCACACCCACAACCTGTCTTGATGTGTTTCTCTTTCCGGAAATAGCCCCCAGCTCCTCCCTGTCTTCTTATTCCTGCTCCATTCATGACCCCGCAATCTGACCTTAATACAATCCCACCACCGACCCTCTGTGGCCACACTCATCTCTTGGTGGATGGGGTGGAGGTTCAGTCCCCTGTGCTCTGCCTGTCACCCCCCTCCACTCCCCCTGGCATTCCATGTTTGCCATAAGCCTCAACCTCCTTAGCCTTCGTGGTCAGAAGGAGACTGGGAGGGCTCCTCTGCCTCTGACCCTTTAGCCAAGAACTGGGTCAGGAGCAAAGACTCAAGAAGACCACTTCTTGAATCCCTCTGGGGCACCTCTGGGCCCCTGGCAGCCACCTCAATCTCTTCAGAGCTAAAGGAGACCCCTCCTGCACCTCCCAGGAAAGAGGCAGCTCTGCTTAGGCCTCCAAAGCCACAGAGGCTCGCAACACCCCCCATTCTACCCTTGAGAGGTATCTACCCTCCTCATGCAGTCCAGAGTAGAATATTGTTCCACTTCTTACCTTTTCTCAATTTTACTCTATAAACACCTGTCGAAACATTTGCCCAAAGACCCAGGTTATGCTGCCATCATTTCTTTCTGGTACCATGTAGAATAGAAAGATGAAGAGAAAAATGAGTAAATTCTGTCCGTACCACCACTCTCCTTTCTGCTGGAGTTAGCTTGGACCTTCAGTGTAGACTACTGCCTTGAGAACCTGTTCTGTGATTCATCCCCTTTTTCTTTCCTCCTCCATCCTCTTCTTTGTTGTGTAAATTAGAAATTATCTAAATTTTTATTTCACCAGCCTGATGCAATCTGATGTTTCTTTTTTTATTTCATTTTGTGTGATGTTGGCTTTTCATTTATTCAAGAAATATGTATTCTCCCTAATTGGGTACCTGACATTCAGACTAATGTTTAGCCAAAAGCAAGCTTTTAGAGAATTTAATGTCGGGCAGCCTTTGTTCAAAGCTACGGGCTTATTTTCTTCCTTTCTGCCGTCATTCTCATTAGTTGCTAAGAGATAAAAATCACTCTTTTGTCAGAAGAAACTGGCCTCTGATGCCCTCTTGCATCATCTCCCGCCTCCCAGGCATCCTTTCCCTCGGTTTCCATGACACCCGTCTCTCACGGCTTCCCCCCGCCCCTGCCCTTTTTGGTGCCCACTTCTCAGTCTCCTTTGCTGAATCTTCTTCCTCTTCCTGATCCTTCCAGAATAATAATAAAAATAAAAATCAGTACAACCGTTATTTTTTAAGAGCTTATTATGTGCCAGGCACCCTGTACCTTAGCTTTTGCCATCCTCACATCAACCCCATAAGTATCACTGTTTTCACATATTTCAGATGATGAAACAGGCAGGAAAGTTAAGAAACTCGCCTAGGGTCATGCAGCTAGTTAGTGGTGGAGCCAGAGATCAGACTCTGGGGTGACTGACTCCAAAGCCCGTACTTCTCACATGTCTTACCTCTCATGTGTTTAGGGCACCCTATCATGTATGTACTATTATCTGCATATGACGTACAAGGAAACTGAGGTTTGTAAATGCAGGATAAGACCTGCCTTCCCCAGGTGTGCCCCATGTAGGAGTGATTAGCATGGGGCTCATCCATCGTAGGCTCTCAAGAAATAGCCGCTACGAGGCCTCTGCTAGAGTGCGTCACTGTGCTACAGAAGGAAGGACAGGAACATTTAAATGCTGTTTGTGCCATGCAGACAGTGCTTCTTTAGTGTTGATCCGAGGATGTGACAGTCTGGCTCCAGGAGCTACACTGAGCCTGGCCCAAGACACGCACTAGAGTGGATTTAAAAATGCCTGAGAGTTTACCAGTGGTGTTGATGACATGATAAAGGGAACACTCACTGGATACTGAGGCAGATTCCTTGGATAGGAACGATGCTAGCTCACTCCCCACACTCCACACGTAGTTTGTGTGTCCCTGGAGGATTTTTCTTTCCCCCACATACCAGAGGCACCCCTATCCTTTCAGATAGTTCAAGACCAGCCAAGTCTTCCTCCACCCAAACCACTCCCATTAGTGACAGATGAAAGCGAGGGTGGGGGGGAGCTGATCTCAATGACAGACGCTCCTTGTGTGCATGGTGGGAAGGAGGTAGGATTGAGATCTGAGGAATCCTTTACAATCCAGGGGTATCGGGCAGGATAAAAGGCAGCAGGGCGAGTGGGGCTGGGTCTCGAAGTTTCATCCTGACAGGACGTATGGGCCCCCAGTTGCAGCAGCTCATCTCAGCCCAGAAATGACAACTTAGTATGGCCTCTCACAACTGCTGCTGCCTCAGATAAATACCATGTTTACCATCCCCACTTTCCAGATGAGGCACAGACTGAGGCACACACAGTTGTAGTCACTTGCCTAAGATCACACAGCTAGGAAAGGTTGGGGCTGGAATTGAACTTCAGATCTGCCTCTTCCCAGAGTCATAATCTTTTTTTTTTTAATTAATTTATTTTTAATTGAAACATAACTGATTGTACATATCTGTGGGGTACAGCATTGAATATCAATACCTGTGTGTAATACGTGATTGTCAAATCATGATAATTACTATATTTATCATTACACAATGTAAACATTTTTTGTGGCCCTTTACCAATTTGTCACTAACCACCCTTACCCCTTTCCTACCTCTGGTGGCCTCAGTTCCATTCTCTCCTTTTGAAAATTCAATGATTTATTGTGATTGTTCGTTGTTTGTTTGTTTGTTTCTTTCTTTCTTATTTTTAAGCTCCCACTTATGAGTGAGGACATGCAGTATTTCTCTTTCTGTGCCTGACTTATTTCTTTCTCTTAACATAATTTTCTCTAAGTTCATCTATGTTGGTGTGAATGGCAAAATTTCATTCCTTCTTATGGCAGAGTAGTATTCCATTGTGTTTATATACCACGTTTTCCTTATCCAGTCGTCTGTCGATGGACATTTAGGTTGGTTCCAACTCTCAGTTATTGTAAATAGAGCTGTGATAAACATGGGAGTGCAGGTATCCCTTCGACGTGATGATTTCCATTCCTTCGGGTATAGACCCAGCAGTGGGATTGCTGGATGGTATGGCAGTTCTATCTGTAGTTGTTTGAGGAATCTCCATATGGTTTTCCATGATGGCTGCACTAATTTACAGTCCCACCAACAGGGTAGGAGGATTCCTCTTTTTCCATATCCTCGCCAGCATGTTATTCCCTGTCTTTTTGATACTGGCCAATGTAACTGGGACAAAATAATATCTTAGTGTGGTTTTGATTTGCATTTCCCTGATGCTGCATGATGCTGAGCATTTTTTCATGTGTCTGTTGGCCATCTGTATATCTGCCTTTGAGAAACGCAGAAGTCTTTACCTTGTGCTGTAAAAGCTGTTCCCAAGGTAATGGATACAAATATCTGATCATTCTATTGGCTGCATCTCCTGGGTACCAATTGTTTATTTCTTCTTTCCTTCCTTCCCTTCTTTCTTCTGGCAGGTAAAGGGATCCTGGGTGCCAATTTCTAATTGCCATACTCATGACTGAAAGTCTGCACAGTAGCATGGCCTCTGTCTCATTTCTTTTATTAAACAAGACAGAAAAAACGATCAGTTTAAGAAAGTTCCTTCCCAGAACCTGAAACCATCATCTCTTCATATCTATTTTCATATCCAATTTCTGATATAAGATACTAAAAATAAACTCTTGGTGAGGATGTGGGCAATAGTC